CGCACAGTAGTAGGGGGGATCTAGTTCAGGGCAGGAGAGTGATAGTCCTTCACCGGTTAGGACCTTGGGGTCTGGGGGGATGGTAGGTAGGTCCAGACGGCACCGGTCTGGGTCTGGTAGCTCGGCTAGAGATGGTGCAGTAACCCCCAGGCTCAGTCGGCGGGGACGGTCCCCAAGTACGGGCGGGAGGAGTCGTAGTCCCAGGGGCGCACAGGCGCGGAGATGACGGGGCACGCTGCGGGAGGCTTTGGAGGTTGGCAGGCGCTCCCAAGGTCGGGGAGGGGAGCACGGGCTCAGTACCCCCTACCTAGGACTTCTTCTCCTATTTCCAGGTCTCGGAGCCGTTCTCCAGCTGCACAGGCGAGGCACCGGGTTGGCTCCCTGGTTGGCAGGATACTTACGGATGTCGCTCATCCTGGACGCCGGGCGCTAGACAATGCAGCCCCTGCCGCTCTGGGAACAGGGGGCTTGGCCAGTGAGTCCAGCGAGTCACTACACTCCAGTGCATTGGTACACACACTTCAAGCGCTACTCCACTCATTGGGAGCGGGGGCAGACAAAGGGGGCGGTGTTGGTCCGGTATGGGCTTAAGGTGCAGGGGTCGCGGGTGCTAGTGTGGGGATGTCCGCGGGGCCTAGCTCCGGCGGTGATGCTGGGACGACGGCAGAGACGACGGATACGGGGGGTGAACGGGCGGAATGGTGTGGGGGTGTTCCCGACGCGGCTAGACAGCACGCGTATGTGTCATTCGCGGGCCCGCTGGGGGTGCACCTTAAGCAGGAGGTAAAAGAGAGGATCTGGAAAGTTGAGTTCTGTGAGATCTTTTCCCTTGTTCCCTTGGAGGACTTTATTGACTTCAAGGAGGATGATAAAAAAGACAAGAAGAAGGAGGAGGAAGAGAAACGGAAGAGGTATCGTAAGATTCCGAAATCGTTTGGTAACTGGTTGAGGGCGTTTTGCGTGCTGGCTAGCGTGCTTGGAGAGAAATCTCCGGGGTTATGCTCCTCCCTGTTCTGCTACTTGGACGGAATTTGGGAGGCGTACCGCACCTACGGGGGGTTAGCCTGGTGGCGGTACGACGAGCAGTTCAGGCAGCGGTTGGCGGCGAATCCGGGTATGAGGTGGGATCAAATGGACCTGCCTCTCTGGATGAAGCTGATGATGGCGCAGAAGGCGCAGCCCTTTCAACACACGGCCGGCGCTAAGGGGCAGTCCGCCTCGTCGGCCGCCTTTCAAAAGGGCTTATGCTGGCTCTTTAACGAGGGCCAGTGCAAATGGGGGACCGCATGTCGCTTTAAGCATGAATGCTCCGGCTGCGGGGGCGCTCATGGGCTCAATCGGTGTTTCAAGAAAGGAAAATCGGGAGTGGGGTGGTTCCAAAAAAGGAACCGGGGAAGTTCAGACTCATTCACCACCTCTCCTACCCAAAGGGGGAGTCGGTGAATGACGATATTGACAAGGAGTTGTGCTCGGTCTCGTATGCATCATTCAACCGGGCGGTCGAGCTGGTAAAACGGGCCGGGTGTGGGGCTCTGATGGCTAAGGTGGATATCGAGGCCGCATTTCAGTTGCTGCCAGTCCACCTGGATTGTTATCACTTGCTGGGGTGTTTTTTGGGGTTAGAGATAGATTCGGTTCGGGGGGAGTGTCGGCTGCCTCAAGGGAAGCTGGAGAGACTGAAGGGGGCGGTGGCGGCTGTGGCTTGAGTGCGCAAGGTCACTTTGCGGCAGCTGCAGTCGTTGATTGGCATGCTGAACTTCGCGTGCCGTGTGATACCCATGGGTAGGGTCTTCAGCCGCAGCCTATCGGCTGCTATGGAGAGGATTTGATCCCCACGCCATTTCATTCGGGTGTCTGCGGCCATGAGGGCCGACTTGAGCATATGGGACACCTTCCTGAGGGATTTCAATGGGACGGTGTTCTTTCGGCAGGAGGGCATGGCGGCGGCGGAGTTGGAACTGTTGACGGATGCGTCGGGTAGTGTAGGCTTCGGGGCGTACTTTGGGGGAAGATGGTGTGTGGAGAAGTGGCCCAAAGCGTGGGGGTTGAGTCCCCTCATGCGCAACCTGGCTTTTCTGGAGTTGTTTCCGTTGGTCGTCGCGATGGCGCTATGGGGTGAGGGGCTGCGGGACCGGAAGGTGGTCTTTTTCTCTGACAACATGGCGGTGGTGCACGCAGTGAATAATCAGTCTGCGGCTTCCAAGCCAGTGGTTAGGTTGCTGCTGTGTCTGGTGTTAAGGTGTATGTTACATAATGTAGTTTTTTGCGCGCGCCATGTTCCCGGGTACTTGAACGAAGTGGCTGACGCTTTGTCTCGTTTTCAGTGGTCCTGATTCCGGACGGTGGCACCGGAGGCATTGAAAGTGGGTCAAGCGTGCCCGGATGAGATATGGCAGCTGGGAGCATCCTGCTTGGGGGACTTGTGAAGGCTTCACTGGCACTGGCCACGTGGGCTGCCTACAGTAAGGTCTGGGACTCTTGGGAACAGTCGTTGGAAGGGCTAGATCACGTAGTTGCGGGGGAGTCACTCGGGGATGCCTTTCTGTGGTACACGTGTCAATTGCGGGCAAAGGGGGCATCCCCGGCGGTGGTTGACAGGTACATGGCGGCGTTGGCTTTCTGGTTCAGGCTGCGCAGGAAGGACGATCTTACCAAGACCTTCGTTATCAGGCAGGCGTTGAAGGGGTATCGGAGAGGCCGCAGGTGGCCGGACACTAGGCGCCCGGTGTCGGTGCGGGTACTTGGGGCTCTGGTCAGAATGTTACCGGAGGTTTGTTTCGACGAGTTTGAGGCGTCTCTGTTCAAGGCAGCGTTCCAGTTGGCCTTTTTTGGGGCTTTCTGAATAGGGGAGTTGGTGAGCGCTACTAGGGCAGTGCCCGGTGGTTTACAGGTATTGGGGGTTCGGGTGCTGGATGGGAAAGTGGTGGCGCACCTGGCCAAATCCAAAACGGACGTCAACAGCACGGGCCGGGATGTGACACTACGGGCCTTGCCGGGCGCGGCACTGTGCCCGTTGGCTGCGGTGGCGGAGTACATGACCCGGAGACCGGCGGTAGGGGGATCCCTGTTGGTACATGCGGATGGCTCGTCCCTTTCACGATTTCAATTTGGTAAGGTTTTTCGGTTGGGCCTCGGGAGGATGGGGCTACGGGCGGATAGATTTGGGACACACTCCTTTCGTATTGGGGCGGCCATGGATGCCGCATGGTTGGGTCTTGGGGATGAGGTAGTGAAGCGGATAGGGAGATGGGAGTCGGTGTGGTTCCGTTCCTATGTGCGGTTGGGTCTACTGGATAAAAAAAAAAAAAAAGAATGGCCCTATCGGGGGGATCCCGGTAGGGGTGGGGAAGGGGGTCTTCTCTCTCCTCATGTTTCTCTCATTGTTTGTTTTCTTCTCCTTCCCAGGCCGTGTTGCATGGATCGTGGGCCATTCCTTTATCTTCTGGGCAGCAAGGAGGGCTGCAGCTCGAGCCCAGGGCCAGCAGCTGGGCTTTCCGAGGGACCAGTTGTCATTGCAATGGTTTGGGTTCAGGGGGTTCGGCTGGGGCTGTGTTTCGGAGGATAGCGAGTGGGGAGGCGCCAGACATGCTGGTCCTACATGCGGGGGGCAATGACTTGGGCCTCACACCGCAACGACGGCTGGTAAAGTGGATGAAGCAGGACCTCAACAAATTGAGGGACCTGCTTCCCAGGATCATGTTAGTGTGGTTGGAGATGGTCCCGAGGCGTTGGTGGCGGCACGCACGGGATCCGGTGGCTATTGATAAGTGCAGGAAAAAAGTGAACAGTTTGATGGCAAGCTTTGTGAGAAAAGTGGGGGGAGTAGTTGTGCGGCACGGTGAGTTGGAAGGCGGGTTGCCAGGGTACTACCGCTCGGATGGAGTCCATTTCTCGGCGGTAGGGTGGGATGTCCTGAACTTGGTGTGGCAGAAGCAGCCACAAGAGACTTTTGCATGGATTATTGCCTGTATTTGAACTGTATGTTATTTGAGCATAGTGGATTTTATTAAAATGGTTCTGGCCTTTTAAATGCTCTGACAAAGGATCTGCAGTTTTGCTATGCACTTCGGATGCAGAGTGTGAAGAAAAAACCCTGTTTTATGGACTTAGTTTGACTGTTTTATTCCCCTCCCTCCTAGAACACCAGTTTAAAAACCCTTAATAACTGTCATATTTTCAAACGCTGTCTGTCTTTAACTGTCAGTTTGTTTTCCTCTGAGGAGGAGTTGTTTTGCTGGGTGAGTGCTGTTGCTTTGTGTGCTCATTAAAACAGACCTGCTTGACCCTTTCTTGAAGCCTTGGCTCATGCTTGGGGGATGGGATAAGTCTGCAGTGCTGATGGTGTCGGTTGGAGTGCTTGAAGTCCTCGGCAAGCACTAGGAGCATCGATTGGCGGAGGTACTCGGTCGGAGTGCCAGCGGGTCCGTCACACTTGGGTTGGCAGGAAGGAATGCAGAGAGAGCTATTTCTTCGTGGTGGCGGAGCTCAGACAGCTTAAGAGATCAAGGTCTGAGCTTGTGGCGGGATAGGGAGCTGAAGGAGAAGGAATAGGCTCCCTAGGATGAACGTGACAGAAAAGGAAACTGTGGTCATTGGTGGTTGGTAGGTTTCGAGTCCTGTCGGTGGCTCAGAACCTGGTGGGGTAGGGGTATCCAGGTATACCCCTGCCATGGTTAACTTATGTTTGGCACTTTAAGTTGGTATGTTGGAATAATGTCGGTATATGTTATATATATATGTGTTATATATATATGTGTTATTTATATGGGGGTCATTGCCTTTTATATAACAGAAGGAGTTGGATGCGAGGGCGGAGTATGGGGGCAATGACCCATGTTTATTTGTTAAGTTATTATTATTATGTTACAATGAATATATAGTTATTATTATTTAAGATTGTTTAATAAAGCTGTGGACAAATTTTCCCATATACCCGAGTGTCAGTGCGATTATTGGGTTAGGTATGTGGGAGGGTTGTCCTGGAGTCCGACTGCCCATATAGCGACTATACACCGGTCATGTAGCCCCATGTAGCCAAAGCACAGCTAAGCGAAAAAGGGCCTTGACAGGGGTTAGGAGGCAGGCATTAGGAGGAGGGAAGGAAGTATGGAGTTATGGGTAAGTAGGCTGTGTTATTTAAATAGGCAGCCATTTTAAGTGAGCTCACTTCTAATTTCCTACCTGGCTTAGTTTGTCCTGCCCACCCTCCCTGTATATGGTTTCTGGTGGGGGATATCCCGTTTTTTCACAGCGGCGGGATAGGGAGCTGAAGGAGAAGGAATAGGCTCCCTAGGATGAAAGTGACAGAAAAGGAAACTGTGGTCATTGGTGGTTGATAGGTTTCGAGTCCTGTCGGTGGCTCAGAACCCGGTGGGGTAGGGGTATCCGGGTATACCCCTGCCATGGTTAACTTATGTTTGGCACTTTAAGTTGGTATGTTGGAATAATGTCGGTATATGTTATATATATGTGTTATATATATATATGTGTGTTATTTATATGGGGTCATTGCCTTTTATATAACAGAAGGAGTCGGATGTGAGGGCGGAGTATGGGGGCAATGACCCATGTTTATTTGTTAAGTTATTATTATTATGTTACAATGAATATATTGTTATTATTATTTAAGATTGTTTAATAAAGCTGTGGACAAATTTTTCCATATACCCGAGTGTCAGTGCGATTATTGGGTTAGGTATGTGGGAGGGTTGTCCTGGAGTCCGACTGCTCATATGGCGACTATACACCGGTCATGAAAATATTAGTTGGGAAAGTAAAGTAAATAGGCCTAAATCATTTTTAGATGATTCCAGAATGGATGTCGGAAACCATTTTGTAACTAAATGTAAGAGATGGCAAAATATATATTTGTTTATTTAGCAATCAAAGTCTGACGGATACAAACAGAATTGTGTTGGTTATGTAAAACACAGACTTGCAGGTACCTGTGCTTCTGCGCAAATCAGCAGAACTATTAAAATTACAATAAAATTTATAATAATTACACCATTTATTACCAAGCAATTACAACTAGCATTCCAATGCTTCATAACGGTGAGTCACTCATAAACTGCAGAACCTTACGACAAGCGGAAAATTTAGCATGCTATAGCCCTGTCCCAGGCATGACTGCTGACTCCTTCGATCACCAAACGGCCACAGCTTTATTTAAACCAGCTCAAACAAATACTGTCAGCTGCTGGTGTTACCCTGTAGACAGGTACACTTTAAACATCTTCAAGAGCCTCTTCAGCCTGTCCTTCGTCATCAACCAAATTCAGGCTGCGACTCCCCAAGTCCGTTCAGGCATTATTCATTTACTAAACTTGCTGGCGCAGGAAACCCGCAGCTGTGACAAAATAAAAACAAAGAAAACACAACACAAAGCAACAATTCCAGAACAGAACAATTGGAGAGGGTGGGTGGGGAAAGACACTGCCAGGCTCCCTCAGCATTGCTCACCAGTAGTCTGGTAATTTTACCAGAATTCTCTGCTCCCAACTGTAAAACCAAATGTATCCATTTGGTTGCTATGCCAACCCCTTAGGGCAGCAGTTATACTCCATCCTCTCTATTCGCTCTGAGGGTTGACCTGATTGCTCTGCTCATCCCTTGAAAAATACTTCATCTTTTCAAGTCAAATTTGTTACTACCACAGAATGAGTGAAAGAGCCTTTGTTTACACAAAAAAATTGAGAGGCAGGGAGCTGTGAGAATATGTTTGACTGTTCCTGTGAAGTCTGTAAACTCAGCAGCAGGTGCGGAGTGGAATTTTCTGGTTGTTTAATCTGCTTTGTGAGGTCAGTTTTATGGATCTGACTTTTCCATTGGCATATGAGAAATCGGCTGCAAAATCTTTCACTGATTGAGTACATATGGCAATAAAACATTATTTTTCAGTTATAGAATGTGACTTGAGGAACAAAATAGACTACAATAGTCTATTGATTCTTCCACATTAAAATTACAATTGATTAAATGAGAGAAAAATGTATATATGAAAATTTAAATTATGTAATGTAAAGTTCTCTGTCTAGATACCTGGGATTTATTATTATTATATTTATATAGCGCCAACAAATTCCGTAGCGCTGTTCAATGAGTGGACTTACAGATGTGTAATTGTAACCAGACAAGTGTGACGCACAGAAACAGAGGGGTTGAGGGCCCCGCTTAATGAGCTTACATGCTAGAGGGAGTGGGTTAAAGGGACACAAAAGGTAAGGGTAGTATTAGGGAAGTAGATGGGTAGAATAGTATTCAAGGAAGTCTTAGTGTGGATTTTTTTTTTTCTCAATGACAGTTGCAGGAGATTAATCAGTCAGGAGCTATTAACAGTTTAATTGATACACTTTTGTGAAAAACTGAGTTTTTAATGATTTTTTGAAGGAGTGGAGACTGGGAGAGCATCTAACGGAAAAGGGAAGGGAGTTCAACAGGAACGGTGCAGCCCTAGAGAAGTCTTGAATGTGAGCATCAGAGGTGGGAGCACAGAGTATAGACGTAGCTCATCAGCAGAGCGTAGGGGCCTTGACGGGACATACTTGTGTATTAGGGAGGATAGATAAGTGGAAATAGCATTGTAGAGATTTGAAAGCAAGAACCAGAATTTTATATTTTATACTGATTTGAACCTAATAACACAGGGCCAGCTTGGACAGTGTGTTGCCTGGATCCAAGGATGAAATGCAGCAGTAATGGATATAGTGTGTGTACTGCAGTGTGTCAAGGTGATACATTGCCTTTGTGAGTAATTTTGGATGCAGTATGTGTGTTGGAGATGCAGTCAGTGTTTGTGCTTGAGTGCAATCTGTATACGTGTGTGCTGGGGATGAAGTGTTTCTGTGTGCTGGGGATGGAGTTAGTTTATGTGAGTTTCCCCCTGGACAACTTGGGAAGGGGGAGTATGACTGCTGCCCATGCCTAGTGGGCTTGAATAAAATGGATTGTAATATTGAAAAATAGATGGTTTTGAAGGATGCTAGGGGAGGAGACTTACCAGTCAGCAGAGTCAAGGAACAGGAACAGACTGACTTCTGGTTTGGTGCATATTTTCATGGTCGTTGGTATGCGGAGGCATGGCTGCGGCGGTGGTAGGCCAGCAAGTTGATGGGCAATCTTACATTCTTGGAGCTCTTCCCTATTGTTGCGGCAGTGGAGCTTTGGAGCAGCGATTTTGCCAATCGGAAGGTGGTGGTTCACAAGGACAACATGGGTGTTGTCTATTTGATTAACCGTTCCGGTTTAGTGCTGCTTAGATGTCTAGTGCTACTTAGTACTTGCGCTATAATGTTTGGATAGTAGCGTGCCACGTTCCGCGAACTTTGAATGTCATCATCTACTCTCTTTCTCTGTTTCAGTCGGACCAATTTTTGAGAGGCGGCCCCAGAGGTGGTGCAGAATGGAGAGCCTTGCCTGCGGGAGTAGTGGGACTTAACTTCAGACATTTTAGGCGGTTGGTCAGAGGGTCTCTCTCTGAGTTGTCCTGGAGGTCGTATGCAGTGGTCTGGCGGCACTAGTGGGGCATAAGATCGATCAGGTGGTTGTATGCAGATGAAGGTAGGTTGAATGTTACGTTGGAGCTATTGGAGTTGTTATGTGTGGCAGGTAAGGCTGTGTTGGTTGCGAGTCGTCATTTGTCCACTCTGTCATTTTGTCTGTCTCGGTTGGTAAAAGGGTGGAATCAGTGTCGCAGTCCAGATAAGCGTTGGCCGATCTCCTTTGAGGTATTCCACAGGTATGTTCCTCCCCATACGAGGTCCGTCTGCTTTTGGTGGCTTTTTTTGTTGTGCTTCTTTGGCGCGTTAAGGATTGGGGAATTGGTGGCTCCTCGTGCATCGACCCTTGTGGGATCAGATTTATTTAGAATTGAGTTGCTGCATTCAATTGAGTTGCTGCATTTCACGCTAGCATTGCACGCGGGCGGGAATTATATCGGCCAACGGAGGTCGGTCGATATCTCATCCATGCCATAAAGCAGGATATGGCCTGTTGCTTCGCCCTGTTTAAAGATTTGACATAGGGAGCGCTAGAGGGGCAACACGGTAGACAGCGCAGAGGGAAAAAGGATAAGACAAAGAATCGCTTTGGGGAGATGACAGCCTGCACGTAAGCTGATGGCAAGTGCCAGCTGTTTAGGCTCTTGGAAAATAGTTGGAGAACTGTCTGTTGGGCTTCAGCTTAACAGCTGACAGCGTTTTGGATAATGTTAAAGATTGATATGTTAATAAAGCTGTGGCAGTTATATGTGTTATGGGTCAGCAGTCATGTGCTGGGGATGAAGTTTGTGTCTGTATGTGTGCTGGAAATGTAGTGTGTCTGTGCGTGCTAGGTTATGCAGTGTGTTTGTGTGCAGGGGACTGAGTGTGTCTGTGTGCTGGGGATGGAGTGTGTCTATGTGTGTGCTGGGGAAGAAATGTGTGTCTGTGTGTGTGCTGGGCATCCAGCACACACACAGACACGGATGACAAGTGTGTCTGTCTGTGCTGGGGATGGAGTGTGCTGGAGAAGGAGTGTTTCTGTGTGTGTTGGAGATGTAGTGTATCTGTGTGTGCTAGAGATATAGTGTACCTCTGTGCAGGGGATGAAGTGTGTCTGTGCTGGTGGTGTATTGTGTCTGTGTGTGCTGGAGATGTAGTGTATCTGTGTGTGCAGTGGCGTACACACAATTCATAGGGCCCCGGTGCGAAAACTGATCCGTGCCCCCCGCGCTTACTCTGCGCGGGCCGGGGCAGCAACACATGGCAGCGGGCACCTGGTTGCAGGGGTCGCAAGGCTGCGACCCCTGCGACCGCAGTATGTACACCAGTGCATGCAGATACACATACACTTAAAGGACCACTACAGACACCCAGATCACATCAGCTCAATGAAGTGGTCTGGGTGCCAGGTCCCTATAATTTAACCCTGTAGCTGAAAACATAGCAGTTTCTGAGAAACTACTATGTTTCACTGAGGGTTAATCCAGCCTCTAATGGCTGTCTCATTGACAGCTGCTAGAGGAGCGTCCGCGAGACGCTGAACGTCCATAGGAAAGCATTGAGTAATGCTTTCCTATGGGCGGTTTGAATGCGTGTGCGGCTCTTGCCGTGCATGCGCATTCGGAGCTGAGAGGCGGATCGGGGCGGAGGGATCCCCAGCTCCAAGGGAGTCCGGCGCAGGAGAAAGGTAAGTGCTGAAGACACACACACTCTCACGAACAGACGCATACACAGTAGCTAACAGA